AAAAAGGGAGAAAAAAAAAAGAAAAAAAGAAAAAGGGGAAGGGGGGGGGGGGGGGGGGGGGGGGGGGCAAGGGGGGGGGGGGGGGGGGGGGGGGGGGGGGGGGGGGGGGGGGAGGTTTAAAAAGAACAAAGATCCCGTTCCCTGTACCTGTGTTGTACATCTTATATCAAGTTACGTGTAACTCTTGGTCAACAGGTCAGGAGATCAAGACCTGTCTGAGGACGTTGCAGAAGGGGTTGAGGGATTAGAGCAACCTTCAATGGTAGAAGATGCAGTGGGCAGGCATGAGATACTCCACTACTGCAAATTGGGACAGAGTAGACTAAATATAGAAGCAGCAGCACAATACTACTGACCACCGTGGCTGTGCCAAGATCTGACACAAGGCCAGTCTCAGGGGGGGAGGAGAGAACAAGATTTCACACACGAGAGCACACACTAATCATACCTTTCTTCACGGCAAACTGGGCACGCATATGTATATCTGCACGTACAAACAGTGACAGTCTGCTGTGATTCGTCGACGGTCCCCTTGAGGGCAGTGGTTGGTACCCACCTCCTCGGAGAGATACTCGGTTGTCTGGGAGTCGTTCGTGCTTAGCCGCAACTGGGGTTAAGGTAGATTATCACTTACAGTATCGTCATCGGGGTTAGGGGACTCTGCAGACTGTTGAGGGTTCAGCCTCCTGATGAGTAGGTAGGTGAAACTCCGACGAAACAGTTTGTCACAGCCCCTCGTTTGTTGTCCTCTTCTCCCTCCCTCTCTGCTTAAGGTTCACCGGGCAGTCCTCTATGACAATGTAAACATCGTCTGTGCAATTGTGCAATGAACTTGCAGGTGATAGCGGGTGTACACTAACTGCTGTGCTTGTTTTCTGGCTGCTGCGCTATTTTGGGCGAGGCAAGGTCATCTTCTTCCTCGAAGCCCAGCCATAGCTGGGGTTGGGAAAGGAACGAAGTTGAAGATCACACAACACTGCTGCGATTTTGCAGCTCTGCATGAGAGCTTCCACAGGACTGTGTTGTTCGGTTTGGGCGCTGCCATTTCCACTTGGCAGCCATATCTGCTGTTCCTCATCACGATGAACTCCATCTTCTTCAAAGTGCTGGATCAGCTGTCTCCTTCTTCATCCCGACTTCCAGCGCTACACTCTCGTGCCGGCGCTGAGCTGGCGCTGCTATCACTTAGGTTTGCTGGTTCAGATAGGCGAGGAGGAAGAAGGAGAGTCCTGTCACAGTTGTCACAGCTGTGGGATTACTGCTGCTACGGCAGCCATAGCCAGGGAGGGGTATGAGGTGATGAGGTGGCGAGGAGGAAGAAGAAGAACAGCCCTGCATGCATGCTTCGTTCGTTGAACACAGTCTTGTTTTTGGTTGTTCGGGGTTGTAAACGCGGTTGTGATTCTTTTTTTTTTTTTTTTTTTTTTTTTTGCTAATCTTCTCTGTATCGTTCCAATTTTAACGGATGTCCCGAAGGACGGTTGTGATTCTTAAAACAAGTACTCTCTGGATTGATTGGAGGAGGGAGGACGGGGGATTGCAGAATTGAAATTCGTTTTCCAATTCTCTGAGTATTTTGAGCTTCCGCTGTGCATCTCTCTCTCCGGTTTTGTGTGGATTTGCCTCCTTTGAGTCTACTCTGCAATTGCATGCGTGTATGGGGTGTGAATTCATCGTGAACTGAAGTTCGATCGGGTACATAACAGTCTGTATACATCGTCATAGAGAACTGCCCAGTGACCCTTACGCAGAGAGGGAGAAGAGAACAACAAACCAGGGGCTGTGACAGACTGTTCCGACGGAGTTGGAGTTTCACTGACTCATCAAGAGGCTTAACCCTCCACAGTCTGCAGATAATCCACCCTATATGTACATATAGTATGCACACATACATAGGTACATTGACGAAAAGGATTGGAAAAGGATTGGCCGTAAATGGCAGTGGAAAATGAAAACAGAGAAATACAATAAAGCAATCCCGTTTGTGAGTCGCATTCGCGAGTTCATTCAGTTTGAGCTCTCCGATTCGAGGACACACTCTGCGTAGCAGATCCTTCAACACAAAAGAAGAAACCACCATATAGGCCATACGTACTCAGCCATGAACTTGTGTGAATGAATCTAAGCAGGAACTGCGGTCAAATGCATCTGATAAAGTCCTACAAAACCATACATAAACCAACTGTACTCTGTTCAGCTGTCTGTGACACATTGCAGCAGGCGGACAAGGGGCCGGAACTAGGCTAAGCATAGCGGAGGTGGAAGGCCCCCAGAAACGGGCACAAAATCTAGACCTCCCCCCGCCCCTCCCTCCTTGGGCAATTTTTCACTGTGGCGAAAATGCAACGCATATGGCTTCCTCCACTGCCAGGTCCTGACCGTCAGGATAACGAGGCTTGGAAGAGACCCCCCCTTACCCCCACAACGATTCCGCAGTGGGCAAAATCGAGCATCAGGCGGGGAAATGAAGCTCGGAGGAGACCCCCTTATTACTCAAATGACGGTCGAAGGGGGGTGAACCCTACTATTACCACCATGCTCGACCAAGTCCACATAGGGGAAGATAAGGGGGAGGAGAACAATAGCTCACCAAATCACCAGAAGGAGGCTGAACCCTCGACCGTCTGGAGGATCGACTAAAATTGTTTCAGGCCATGCATTATCTGCCTAAGTATACCAAGGAGGTCCAACCACAGTCCTCCTTGGTTGGTATACACCCACTGACAAATAATTAGCACATGGTTCTAGTATACATTGATACATAACTAGCACTCGTGCTTTTCCCATTATGATTCACAGCAACCTTCTTTCCTTCGCCAGTATTGCTCTCTCTCTCTCTCTCTCTCTCTCTCTCTCTCTCTCTCTCTCTCTCTCTCTCTC